GTTTTCGAGTTAACATATTTGTGTTTTGCAAGCCTACTATAAATAGAACAAACCCTCCTCTCCCATTTTCGAACTCTTCTTTGACTTCTTTTTCGGTTTTCTCTTCGGTTTTCGCCAGGTCTTCGCGGGAAGTTTCGACGAGGGTTTCGATTCGTATTTTTCATAAGATTTTTCTTTAGGTTTAGTTTATGATTTCTCGTGTTCTTCATTTTGATGCTATATTTGTAATGAACTGAGCATTTTCTTTTAGGGAAATGAAACCTTGTATATATTGATTTTAATTTCCAGATTTGTGATATCTATTGGTCGTTCTTTGATTTTGTTTATGTTTTCCTGTATTAATTGTTTGTCCAACAGTTGCATTGATTGTGAATGGGAATGAACTCGAGAGAGGATTTCTCGTTTGATTTTAGGAAAACATAGTTCGGGTTCTGGAAACGGAGACGTGATGACCTCGGGTAGCCCTGAAGGACTTGACCTAAATACCTAAATGCTCTCTTAATATCAGGTTCTGAACGGAGACGCCGGACCTGTGCATAGACTCTAACTACACTGGAGACGGGGGTTAGGGTATTTTAGTGTCTGGGTTAGCAAATATAGAATTGACATTAGATTTGGATTTGTAGATCTTTATCGATAGTACACTGGTGGTTTTTACCTTAGAAGCCATCACACGTCGAAATTCCGCGCTTGTCCTGCCGACAGTTGTTTTTAGGGTTAAATACAAAAACACCCATGTACTATGGAGTTTGTATCAAATACCCCCCTGTACTACACATAAATACATAAACCCCCCTCACATTACATTTTTTTCAAAATATGACTAGAATACCCCTGCTTAGCCTATAAATTAAATAGTTTGTTTGAGTCATTTTTCACTATATTTTTAATATTTTCGGTCTATTTTACTTGGGAAATTTTGATATTTATATTTTTTTCTACAAAACATTAAATTACTTAGTTTTTCTTTCTCAATAAAACCTTTTATTTTCTTCCGGTAGTTCAAATTCTCAACAATCATAGGATTGCAAAATGACAAAAATAAAAGTTTTTTTATCATAAAATTAAAAAAATATAAGCAATTAGATGTTTTGGAGAAAAAAATATAAATACCAAAACTTCGCACGTAAAATTGACTGAAAATGGCTCAAACAAACCTTTATATATATATATATATAAATGCTTGAGTAGGGGTATTTTCGTCATATTTTGAAACAAATGTAATGTAAGGGGGGTTTTTGTATTTATGTGTAGTACAGGGGGGTATTTGATACAAACTCCATAGTACAGGGGTGTTTATGTATTTAACCCTTGTTTTTATTTATTGTTTCGTTTTAACTTCATTTCTCTTATTCTTTCGTATAACTAGATAAAGTTTAGGATAATATAATTACGGTACTTGGTAAATTTAGGAACTTAATTTCCTGTGGATCGATAACTGGAATTCACTATTCTACAAAATGCGATACTGTACACTTATGGTTTTTCATATGTAGGTTTTACGCGTATCACCTTCCTATGCGCGCCAACCCACTCACGCGCCTCCCAAGGTGCGCCATGCGCGCCCACACTCAGTCTGCGTGCCCTCTTTAAAAATAAAGAAAAAACAACAGAAAAATTAGGGGGAGAAATAATAATAATATTTTATTATTATTCTTCCACGACAACTAGTAGCACAAAAATACAACACTGATATACTCTCGACCTGATCTGGTATCCGTTTCGACTTAGCTCCCACATCGACTCGAGAGTGGGGGGCTTAATGATATGCCTAATTGGACTAGCCTAATATGCCTACAATTCTCTACCTAGTGGACCACGAGTCCGATTTAGAAAACCACTACTACGAAAGCCCAATCACCTTCAAATAAGGTTTGGTCCAACAATTTAACTGCAGCACAATCAACGAGATATAAATAAAGATTCAATTTATTTGTTAACGGTACGTCCTATTATCTAAGCAATACTTCAATTTGTATTCTCTCAACTACTTCTACTATCCGCACGTCTGACTTGAGCGTCAGAGGGGTTTCTGTCGGATCAACCCCCCAACCTAGGTTACGTGTTCTCTGATCACAGGTATCTCAAGACCATCTAGCTCGTCAGTCAGTGATCCACTTTACTCTCCCAGCTCTACCTACCTCAATTACTTAAGGTGATCTAATTTTAGCATCATCACTGACCATTTAACATAAATTTTGTATTTTTCTATTTAAAAAATTGCAAATACCTCCACTTTAAAATCCTTAATTGTCAAATGCCCCGTCACAAAAAATAAATAAAAAATAAATGAATAAAGAATAAAAAATGACCCATAGTTATGTATTTGAAATAAAAGTGGAAATATAATTGTGTTTATCTGTTCTGAAACTTTGCCATCTGGATCTTGCAAATTTAGAAACCGAAAACATAAAGTCAATGAACACTCTTAGAATTCTAGGAGCATTCTAAATATTAAGGGGTTTTATGCATAAGTTTCTGATCAAGCATCTTTACCATTCTAGGTTAAGGGGTTATATCTTTTTCGCCAATAATCCCATTCCTTTAATATATATTATATATAAATACAAAATTAATGTATATGACAAAATTACTTTCAACAATTTAAACCCAATACCTAATTGTAACCACAATTTAACTTCAATTTCATCAATTTTGACCACAAAAATCAAATTTTGACTGTTTTTTAGAATTTTTCTTAATGTCAGTTTCTGGTGTTGATTAATATATATATATATATATATATATATATATATATATATATATATATATATATATGGTAAATTACAAACACCCCCTGAGGTATGGTCAAATTACAAAAACACCCCTCTTGTTTGGATAATTACAACCACCCCCTCAACTCATCAAATTTAGTGGAATCTTCGAGATTATATAGAATATTATCACTTTTGTACCCGTTTTATCCCATTCAAACTCTACATTATGAAGCAAGATGATCATAATATGTGATTTTTAGCTTGTATATATCAGTTTGTAGTGCTTAGGAAACTGTATTTTTTACACAAAAAGAGTACAAACTAGAGCACATTTCACGGAATCTAGATGACTTGTTGAATTTGGCACCATAAAGGTAGAGGTCTAAGAAAAAATCATAGTTGAGGGGGGTAGATGTAATTATCCAAACAATATATATATATATATATATATATATTATGTTTTTCGTCGTTGGTTTCTGGAGTTGACTTTTTTTGATTTTTTTTCCTACTAAAATTTTATCCGTTTTTTACGCCCGTCGCTGAACGTTGAGTGACTGTAATTGTTGTAGTAATAATATTACTATTGTTGACGGTAAAATTTTTGTAGTAAGAATAATATTTTAGCTTGCTCAGGCACTTGAGGTGTGGCCTGGTAAACCCTCGCTTATACAGTATCCCTTTATCTAAACAAAAGTTTCTTACTCTAGCTTCCAGTTTAGCTTGCTACCGTCAGCAAGGCTGTACCCGTCCCTCCAAGCATTCCGATTGCCAGTTGGTCGTGAACCCGGCTGTGAACACTGTCATTCGTTCTCGGTGCTGCCCTTTTAGGATCGTGATTTTACTGGAAGTGCATTCTCACGACATGCTTCATACCCTTGCCAAGAAGTCTGCCCTCTCGTTCGCGCTCCTCAGTATCTGCGTGAGTGTGGCCCGGCGAAACCCTCCGACTAGCTCTCGTGCCGTCGTGCAATACTTTTCCATTCTTTCACCATTTGTTTTGAAAGCTCCGTTAACTTGCTGAACTACCAGCTGGGAGTCGGAGTATAGTTTTAGCATCCTAGCCCCCATCTCTGCGGCCAACTGCAGTGCATATATCAGAGCCTCATATTCAACCTCGTTGTTGGAAGCTTTAAATATTAGCCGGATAGCGTACTCGTACTCCTCCCCCTCGGAGCTTATAATTATCACTCCGGCTCAACTTGCGGAGGGGTTAGCGGAGCCATCGATAAAGACTTTCCATGTTTCTTCTCCTCGACATGGGGCGTCTCATGCGGGAATTCAGCCAGGGCTTGCGCTTTGATAGCCGCTGGGGACTCATACTCGACGTCGAATTGTCCAAGCTCGATGGCCCATTTGATCATTTTACTTAACACGTATATCTTGCCCAAGGTATCCTTGAGAGGAAAATTGGTCTGGACTACTATCGAGTGCGACAAAAAGTAGAGCCTCAACTTCCGAGCAGTTACGATGACGGTCAGCCCCATCTTTTCGATCTCCGCATATCTTTTCTCTGATCCCTTTAGCATTCTTCTCACGTAATATATCGGATATTCCACTCCATCCCTTTCGCTCAAGAGTACGGAGATAACCGTCTGCTCGCCCGCCACTAGATAGACATATAATTTTTCTCCGGGCTCCGACTTCACGAGCAGGGGGAGGCCCGCGATGGAATCCTTTAGGTGCTCGAATTCCCGATCTGCTTCCTCGTTCCACTCAAATTGCCCTCCTTTACGTAAGATATTAAAAAAAGAGTAACGAGCTTCAGTTACTCGAGAAATAAAGCGTCTTAGGGCGGTAATTCTTCCTGCCAGCGTTTGTACTTCCTTTTTTGTTACATGGGGTCGCATCTCCGTCACCTTGCGTACCTTTTCTGGGTTGGCTCCACCCCTCTCTCAATTACCATGTAACCGAGGAATTTTCTCATTTCTACACTGAACGCCCACTTTGAGGGGTTAAGCTTTATTCCATACTTCCTAAGTGTAGCGAATGATTCTCGTGGGTCACTAATGTGGCCACCGGCCTTCTTGCTCATGACAACCATGTTGTCTACATATACCTTCATGTTCCACCCGAGTTGGGCTCGAAACATCGTGTCTACCAATATTTGGTACCCAAACGACATTACCACATAACAATATGTTCATGTTGAGTTGACGAAACTCATATTAGGTTGGTCCTTTTCGCACAATCAGATCTCATGGTATCCTTGTGAGGCGTCCAATTGATTGATCCTCGGTAAAGGGTAATGATCCTCGGGGCATGCTTGGTTTAGATCTCTAAAGTCTATGCACATCCTCCATTTTCCTTCTGACTTTTTGACAAAGAGGCGTTCGACAGCAACGTTGGGAACCTGACTTCTTTGATATGTCCCACCTCGAGTAATTTATTTACTTCTTCCTCGATGATCTTATCCTTCTCGGCCCCTAAGGGTCTTCTTTTCTGTTTAACTGGGGTCGATTCGGGGCTGACGTTTAGCTCGTGTACGGCTACCTCCAATTCTATTCCCACCATGTCCTTGGAGGACCAAGCGAACACATCCTGGCTCGATCGTAAAAACACCAGTAGCTCTTCGGCTATCTCCGGGCTCATCCTGGTCCCGATCTTGGTTACTCGGGTCGGATCACTGTTGCTGAGTTGTACCATTTTTAATTCTTCCATCGGTTGCACGTGGCCTTCTTCATTCTCATCGGGATCCACCCGAGGCCTTTTGTCCTCCATCCGACCTATGTCGTCGCTGCCGGGTCTTCCCACATTCTTCTACTAGGCAACCGGTTTGATGCGTCATTGGCCCTTCAGCGCTAAGTTGTAGCATCTCCTTGATGTTTCTTGATCTCCTCAGACTTCTCCGACTCTCTCCAACACCGGAAACTTCATCTTCATATGGAAAGTAGAGTCGACAGCCTCAAACGAATTCATCGATGGCAGTCCCATGATCATGTTGTAGATCGATTGGGCATCTAGATTAAGAACCTCACAGCTCGAGTTGCTCGATGGGGCTTGGTTCCTAGTGATACTGGCAGGGTCACTACCCCCATCGGCTGCATCACGTCCCAGCAAAACCAACAAGGCCCGTATCCACTCTTTGGACTTCGACATTCAGGTTCATCTGCTTGAAGCATTCGTAGTAGAAGAAAGTGGGGGCCTTCCTCGAGAGGGAGTCGAAGAATTCTCCCATCCGAAGCCCTTGGGTTAGTGCATTGATGAGCACATCCTCGCTAGTAATATGGATCTCCAACGTTGCAGAATTAAATCTTAGTAAGTAACTTCTGAGGAGATCATTCTCCTTCTGCCGTACCGCGAATAAGGTGAGGGTGCTCGTTTTTTGTTTCTTGGAGCTATCGAAATGGCTTAGGAAAACTTCGCTGAATTATGTGAAACCATCTATTGCGCATCATGAGAGCTGGCTGAACCATATATGGGTTGGACCTGCTAGGGTGGTCGGGAATACTCGGCCATTCACCCCGTCGGCCAACCGATACAGTGAAGCCGAGGTGATAAACCATGACAGATGTTCTCACTGTCAGTCGTGCCGGTATAGTCATACGCAATGGGTCTAAAAGTTGATGGCACCTCGCCCTGCTGTAGCCTGGCGGTGAACGGGGTTCCATCCATCCCTTCCGCCTCACTGGGGGGCCTCCTGATGATCTCCTCGCCCCACCCCCCTCGGGCTGCTCCGTGGCCTTTTTTCTCGCGATTGCACCTCCTCCAACCCCAGAGGATGATTGTCCTCGGGCAGCCGGTCAGATCAGTGCATGCAGATGCTCCGTCGTGAGGGTTATGGTGGAGTTCTCTCCTCGATGTGAGGACCTGGAAACCCCCGACGTTGTTTCCCCCATCATGGGCTCTAGCGTGGGGCCATCTGCGGGAGGTGGAGTGGCTTCTTCCTCCAGCCAGCTTGAGAGGTCCCTTACAATGTCTGACGGTGAGGTCATGAAAGAATACTTTTTGGATTCTCGCAATGTGGCCATTGTGATAAATATTTTTTTCCCACAGACGACGGTAGTTGATCTTTTCGAAAGAACCTTGTCCTGTGTTTGGACCACTTAGAAGGATGCTGAACACTTACAAAAAAAAGACCGAACTGATGCCGAAGTTAGCACTCCAATGATTAAGTCGATAAATGACCAATATGATTCTTAGACAGGATTCTCTTACTTAATATACATGAAGATAAGTAAGAATGATGAGTGTATGTACTCACTGCTTGGTTTGATGAGCGTCTTATTTTATAGAGCTTGGGGCATGCTTTCTTCTACCCAGCGTATCCCGGCCGAGCAGTCCACTCTTCTGCTCCTCAGCGCCTCTGGTGAGTCCTTTGTCGGGTGGCTCGGATCATGATTACCTTTCTTGTAATCAGAAACTCCCTCTCTTTAGATTGGATAGGATAAGGCCTCATTTCTACTTCATCAGCCTTTCGGCCGCGTCTGGTCATTAAAGCATCAAATACCCCTGTCACATCATTTTATGAGCCGCTGGGGGCGTCATAGGTGCTTGTCAGACGCATTGAAGTCGTTCTTCTATATCTACCCCGACCTCTAGGTCTATAGCAACAATTGCCCAGGTATATCCAAAGCCACGTTCCAACACTCGGGCAGCCTCCTTGCAACTCGTACTAGCTAGGATCCTAAGCCCCCAGGGAAAATCTTCCTTCTCCATTCTCCTCATCGGGCTTGGTATCATGGTGGGTCTCTAAAGGGCTCTTCTTAGTGGGCCTCCCATGTATTGGTCCGTTTGGACAATATATTAGTTCTTGTGTCTTGTAGTATCTCGTGGTTATAGAATTTGCAATTGTGTATTATATTATCGACGCTTCACATGGTCTTTGAATAATTTCCACGTATTGGTATTGAATCCTTCGTTATTCCAAAAATAAGTTCATGTGCCCAATAATAATAGAGCATACATAGGAGGTATTGGGTTATCCTTTCCCCTGCCAAAAAATCCAGTTCAATTATAAGTTTCACATTTACTAAAATATAACATCTTTATGAATAATTCTACATACCAAAACCAAAAACCTTTGGCTCTTCCATAATCACATAATTTAACTTGGTGGGGGTATGAATTCATCTGAAAAATGTCATCACCTTATTAACTTGGAAGTGGAAACTAAAGAAATAAGACAAAAGGGCTAAAAACCTAAAGTGTGATTTGAAGGGATTTGAATCTCTCCCATAAATAGACTAAACTTTTAATTGCGATTAAGGATAAAATTATTCTTAAAGTTTCACCCACACTTATTTACACTAAAAAAAAATTAATAATTATAGAAAATAACAAAGGAAACAAGTGGAGTTATGGAAGAGTTTCTATCACTACGATATGACTTTCACATGAACCAAGGTTGTCCTAGGTTAAAAGCTCCATTTGCACATTTAACTTTATACTTAATGGTGAGAACTTTACCATCCCATGGAGTACAAAGTCATATTTCAAATTCGTTTTTGGTAAATCAAAAAAAAAAACAAGATTTCCTTTAGTTTTCTTTGATTATACATTTTCTTTTTATTTATTTCTTTGATCTTTTTATCCATTTAATATTGTGCAAACTGCAAACACAACTCTAGAATATAACTTAACTAAATTTTTGGTAACTAAATAAGTTCTCTTTCTTCATTTTTATTTTCTAATCTTAATCCTTTCTTAGGAAAAGTACAGTTTATATAAGTTCCCTCTATTTTATATAATAATAGTAATATGATCTTTAATAAGGACAAGTTGAGGTGAACAAAACAACACCAATCACGATCTTTAACCATACTTAAGTACAAAAGAGGGTAGAATGAGTGGTTGAGAAATAAGATTATTGTGGCATATCGTAAACCAAGATTTCAAAACTGGGCAATAATTTGTTCTTGGTCAAAAAGAAACATAAAGACTTATAGGATCCTCTGATTTTTTAAAAACAATACATAAAAGTAAAGTAAAAGTTGGTTGAGAAATAAGATTATGTGGCATATCGCAATCCTAAGTTTCAAAACTGGACAAAAAGACTTGTGGGATCCTCTTATCTGTGAAAAAAACAATAAAATAACTATAGCATAATTATAACGAAAAGAAACTGAGTCGTTTTGTTTTTTAATTAATATATATATATATATATATATATATATATATATATATATATATATATATATATATATATATATATATATATATATATATATATATATATATATATATATATATATATATATATATAT